GGACAGGACAGGACAGGACAGGACAGGACAGGACAGGACAGGACAGGACAGGACAGGACAGGACAGGAGAGGAAACAGGACAGGAGAGGAGAGGAAACAGGACAGGAGTGGAGAGAACAGGAGAGGACAGGACAGCACACAGATGCTGTCGCCGGTGGGCTGCTGCGTGCCCGGCGGGCGGTGCCTTTAAGGGGCGGTCGCGGGGCGGTGGCGGCGGCGGGGCCGGGGCGGCCGCGGTCCCGGTTCCCCCCCCCGGCTCCCGGAACTCGCCCGGCGCCGGCCATGGTGCAGATCGTGACCGTGAAGACCAAGCCCTACGGCGACCAGAAGCCGGGCACCAGCGGGCTGCGCAAGAGGGTGACGGTGTTCCAGAGCAATGCCAACTACACGGAGAATTTCATTCAGAGCATTCTGGCCACCGTGCCGCCCGCGGAGCGCCAGGACGCCACGCTCGTGGTGGGGGGCGACGGCCGTTTCTACATGAGAGACGCCATCCAGCTCATCGTCCGCATCGCCGCCGCCAACGGGGTAAGCAGCGAGCGCTCCGGGCTCCGGGATGCGCTCCCCGCCCGCCGCGGCGGAAATCGCTGGCGCTCGGCGTGTCCGCGGCGTGGAAGGAAGGCGGTGAGTGGCAGATGAGCTGGCGTGGGACAGCTCGAGTCCAGGCAGAAAACACCCCCGGCAGCCTCTCCCTGCCTGCTGGAGAGGGAGGATATTGGCCGGGGTGGAGGTATGGAAGCAAACACGACTTGGCTCTAATTCCTTCTTCCTTCTGGCTGGCGTTGGGTTTTCCAGCTGAAACACAGGTGAGGTGTTGGGAGGGAGCAGCGTTCCCTTCCACAGCACTGGAATGCATCTCACTGCTGGGGGATTCCTCCGTGGGTTTGTCCTGCTCCTGTCACTCGGTGGCTCAAAGGAATCCCAGCAGGGAATGTTTGTAAAGGGAGGATTTCCCCTACGTTTACTCTTTTCCAAAGGAAAACTATCCCCTTCTCCTGGGACACCAACACCAGCATCAAATATTCTTCCTCATGGACAGCAAAGGAGAGAGGGGCTGAGGGTGCTGGTGCTTAGGGTAGAACCTCAGAGTTACTTATTTCAAATTCCCAGGTGCCCCAATGCCTGTAAATATCTGACTTCTTAGGAAAAAAAATAATAATTTGGGATTGCTGCCTTTTTAGGGCACAAAGAAGCAAATAACTGGTTTGGATTATTTTTAAACCATATAGAAATTTGACTTTTGTGATTCCATAGCCCAGCATCCCTGGATGCTGTGTGCACCTCTGGAAGTGATGGATAGGGCAGCCTTCCTTCCCTGATGGAAAAGCAGCAGGCACCGATTTATTCATGTGTTCTGGGAGGGGGTTGGAGCTGGAATATGCAGCATTCCTGCCCGAGTGCACACACAGACAGGATCCCTGTGGATCACTGTGAATAAGCAGAGTGGGAAACTTGTTCCCTGGGATGAAGTGTGAGTTCGTGCAGGTTTTTGGATGTGCACCCGGGGCCTGGTGGGATGTGGCAGCATTCCAGGCACCGACTTCTCCATCATTTACACTTCAGCTCGGTCCCAGAAGCAGAGGCCTGGGGTAGAGCCGTGCTGGGGTCTGATGAGGTGTTTTGGGAAGCGTGGAAGGCCGGGAATGTCTCGGATTCTCCCCCGGATCGTGCAGTCACTCACGTACATTCAGGGCTGAACTCGCTGCCAGAGCTGCAGCAGCGGGTCCCAAGGGCTGCCCTTGCCAGCAGGAATTTGCCTCGGAGCATTTTACCCACGTGAATTCCAAGTGCTGGGACAGAACTGGCTCTAAAGTCAGAAAATGTTGGGAAAAGGCAGGAAAAACGAGAGGTGGAGGAAGGAAACGTGTGGAAGAATATGTGGGTTAATAAATGAGCAGCAGGTAAAGCCTGGATAAGTAACCAGAGGTACAGCAGGGCAGAGCCACTGGAAACTTGATTACAGATATTTGCTACATTTTAGCAGCTCTGGCCTCAATAAGTCAGTGCAGGAACTGCATTGTCAAACTCAAGAGTAGCAAAACTCTCTGGTCCCGAGAAATGAGGTGACTAAAGCCGGGGGGTTTCTTTAGCAGATGCAAAACACTGGTTTTAAATAAATTTTGATGTGTTGGCCTTGTTTTGGAGTGCTTGAGGGATGCTTGGTTTGTGGGGTTTCTCTGTAATTGCAAAGATCAGTTCCCTGGTGGTTACCACAGTGTAGTTAAGTAAAAGTCTCTGAGAATCCTCTTTCTTCATAGTGAATATGAAATGACTGGAATTTCCCTGCCCTTCAAAGAGAAGGATGGACAGCTTCATTCATGGTAAGAAAGTGCCCTGCAGAACAGGAACCAGCACATGAAAACTTTCCTGCAACTGTGGGTTTGTCCAGGTGCTGGGATTCAAACATCTCCTGATTCCAGCAGCCAGGTCTGGGGGGGAAACTCTGTGGCCTCATGCTGAGAAAAGCAGAGTAATACTAAGAAAACTGCTGTAAAAGTGCATTTCTGGTCCTGAGGATTAAGAGGTGGTTGATAAATGCTTTAAAATCACGTGGTGTTAAGATCTGGTTGAATGGTGCTCTCCAGGCACAGGACAGACCTGAGGACCACAATCTTTAGTTTTACAACATAAAAAGAAAGGATGCTAAAATTAGCTTGAATTTTGTCTCCACCTGCAGTGGTTAATATGGAACTCAGTGTTTATTTTTAAGTAGCAGCTACTCAGTTTGCAGT